TGTGTGTATAATATATATATTCACACTAATATATATGTATTACAGCAATATATGCTCTATAAAGAGTAAACACATACACATAATATATATGCACAGAGAATATATATGTGCGTAATATATATATATACACACTAATATATATGTATTATAGCAATATAAGCTACTTAAAGTGTTTACACATACACATAATATATATGCACAGAGAATATATATGTGTATAATATATATATATGCACACTAATATATATGTATTACAGCAATATATACTCTATAAAGTGTATACACACATAATATATATGCACAGAGAATATATATGTGTGTATAATATGTATATTCACAATAATATATATGTATTACAGCAATATATGCTCTATAAAGTGTATACACATACACATAATATATATGCACAGAGAATACATATGTGTTTATTATATATATAAACACTAATATATATGTGTTATAGCAATATATGCTTCCTGGTGTATACACATACACATAATATATATGCACAGAGAATATATGTGTGTGTATAATATATATATACACACACTAATATATATGTATTACAGCAATATATGCCTTATAAAATGTATACACATACACATAATATATATGCACAGATAATACATATGTGTTTATTATATATATAAACACTAATATATATGTGTTATAGCAATATATGCTTCCTGGTGTATACACATACACATAATATATATGCACAGAGAATATATATGTGTGTATAATATATATATATATGTGCACACTATAATATATATGTATTACAGCAATATATACTCTATAAAGTGTATACACACATAATATATATGCACAGAGAAAATATATGTGTTTATAATATATATATTCACACTAATATATATGTATTACAGCAATATATACTCTATAAAGTGTATACACAGATCCATAATATATATGCACAGAGAATATATATGTGTGTATAATATATATATTTACCATATATCTATATCTATATCTATATCTATATCTATATCTATATCTATATCTATATCTATGTATATAATAAAAGTCAAAACTTGTATGCGGAGGACAAAAGTGTGGCGGGAGGAGTATGTGCCAGCGTTCTGATTGGCTGCCGCTGTGGTGCTATTTGCATATGGTCTCTGATTGGCCAGCTTCAATAGGAGCCCCTGGTGGAGAAGAGGGTTCATGGCAGAAACGGGGCATGACAGAAGGAAATTTGCATATGGTCTCTGATTGGCCAGCCTCAAATCCAACATTCCGAGATGACAAAGAGAGGAAAGGAAAGGCCGGTCAGAACACTCCCAATACAGACCGAAATAGGCACACAGAGCCCCCATCACCCACTCGACATCCTACTGCAGTTTGGAGGAGGATGAACCATGGATGATGGGACTTGCAGTACCACCACTCACATTCTGAGACCGCTGTTAACCTTATCCAATGACTGATCAGGACCAAACTTCGCACATAGACCTCTCATGACCCACTGTACGTCCTGGTGTGGTTTGGCCGGGGATGGACTGTGGATTATGGGACTTGCAGTACCATTGCTCAGTTCTTCAGACCACTGCAACCCTCATCCAATTACCAAAAAATACCAAACTTGGCACACTGAGTCTCCATGACGCACTCTACATCCAGGTGCAGTTTGAAGGAGGATGCACCATGGACGATGGGACTTGCAATACCTGCACTCCCTTCCTAAGACCATTATAACTGCCAACAATGATGGATCAGGACCACAATTTACACAGAGAGCCCGCATAACGCACTCTACATCCTGGTGCGGTTTGGAAGAATTTGACAATGGATGATGGGACTTGCAGTCACTTCACTCACTTCCTGAGACCACTGAGACTCTCGCCAATGACTCATCAAGACTAAACTTGGCACATGGAGCTTCAATGACCCACTCTACATCCTGGAGCAGTTTGGAGGACGACAAACCATGGATGATGGGACTTCAAGTACCTCCACTACCCAAGACTGCTGCAAAACTCATCTAATGACCAATCAAGACCAAAGTTGGCACACAGAGCCCCCATGACCCACTCTACATCCTGCTGCAGTTTTGGAGAAGGGTGGACCATGGATGATGGAACTTCCAGTACCTTCACTCACATTCTGAGACCTCTGCAAACCTCATCCAATGACGAATCAAGACCAAACTTGGCACATAGACCTCTCATGACCCACTTTACGACCTGGTGTTGTTTGGAAAAATTTGGAGATGGATGATGGGACTTGCAGTACCTTTGCTCACTTCCTGAGACCACTGAGACCCTCGCCAATGACTAATCAAGACTAAACTTGGCACATGGAGCTCCAATGACCCACTCTACATCCTGGTGCAGTTTTGAGGAGGACAGACCATGGATGATGGGACTTCAAGTACCTCCACTCCCTTCCAAAGATTGCTGCAACCCTCTTCTAATGACCAATCAAGACCACACTTGGCACACAGAGCCCCCATGATCCACTCTACATCCTGCTGCAGTTTGAAAGGGGATGGATTTTGGATGATGGGACTTGCAGTACCTTCACTCACTTACTGACACCACTGCCACCCTCATCTAATGACTGATAAAGACCAAACTTGGCACACAGAGCCCCCATGACCCACTCTATATCCTGCTGCTGTTTGTAGGAGGATGGCCCATGGATGATGGGACTTCAAGTACCTTCACTCACTTCCTGAAAATAATGCAGCCGTTATCCAAAGACCAATAAAGACCAAACTTGGCATACAGAACCACCATTACCCACTTTCTCTAATAACCCGGGCAACGCCGGGTCCCCAAGCTAGTATATAATAAAAGTCAAAACTTGTATGCGGCGGATGTGTGGTGGTGTATGTGCCGGCTTTCTGATTGGCCAGCCTGAAAGTTCCAAGATTCTGATTGGCTGCTGCTGTGGTGCTATTTGCATATGGTCCCTGATTGGCCTGCTTCAACAGGAGCCCCTGGTGGAGAAAAGGGTTCATGACAGGAATGGGGACATGACAGAAGGAAATTTGCATTTGGTCTCTGATTGGCCAGCCTCAATTCCAAGATTCTGAATGGCTGCCGCTGTGGTGCTATTTGCATATGCTCCCTGATTGGCCTGCTTCAACAGGAGCCCCTGGTGGAGAAAAGGGTTCATTACAGAAACAGGGACATGACAGAAGGAAATTTGCATTTGGTCTCTGATTGGCCACCTCAATTCCAAGATTCCGAGATGACAAAGAGAGGAAAGGAAAAGGCCAGGGGGGGCTGGGTCAGAAAATTACCAATACAGACCAAACTTGGCACACAGAGCCCACAAGACCCACTCTACATCCTACTGCAGTTTGGAGGAGGATGAACCATGGATGATGGGACTTACAGTCCCATCACTCACATTCTGAGACTGCTGTTAACCTCATCCAATGACTGATCAGGACCAAACTTGGCACACAGACCTCTCATGACCCACGTCCTGGTGTGTTTTGGCCAGGGATGGACCATGGATTATGGGACTTGCAGTACCTTTGCTCAATTCCTGCAACCCTCATCCAATTACCGATAAAGACCAAACTTGGCACACTGAGTCTCCATGATGCACTCTACATCCTGGTGTGGTTTGGGGGAGGATGCACCATGGGCGATGGGACTTGCAATACCTCCACTCCCTTCCTGAGACCATTACAACTGTCAACAGTGATGGATCAGGATCACAATTCGCACAGAGAGCCCGCATGACCCACTCTACATCCTGGTGCGGTTTGGAAAAATTTGGAAATGGATGATGGGACTTGCAGTCACTTCACTCACTTCCTGAGACCACCAAGACCCTCACCAATGACCGATCAAGACCAAACTTGGCACACAGAGTTCCCATGACCCACTCTACATCCTGGTGCACTTTCAAGGAGGACAGACCATGGATGATGGGACTTCAAGTACCTCCACTCCCTTCCCAAGACTGCTGCAACCCTCATCTAATGTCCGATCAAGACCAAACTTGGCACACAGAGCCCCCATGACCCACTCTACATCCGATGCTGTTTGGAGGAGGGTTGACCATGGATGATGGGACTTGCAGTACCTTTACTCATTTACTGAAACCACTGCGACCCTAATCCAATGACTGATAAAGACCAAACTTAGCACACAGAGCCCCCATGGATGATGGGACTTCAAGTACCTTCACTCACTTCCTGAAAACAATGCCACCGTCATCCAATGACCAATAAAGACCAAACTTGGCATACAGAAGTGCCATTATCCACTTTCTCTAATAACCCGGGCAGCGCCGGGTCCCCAAGCTAGTATATATATATATATATATATATATATATCAGTAATATATGCTCTATATAGTGTATACACATAATATATATGCACAGATAATATATGTGTGTGTGTAATATATATTCACACTAATATATATGTACTACAGTAATACATGCTCTATAAAGTGTATACACATACATATAATATATATGAACAGAGAATATATATGTGTTTATAATATATATATGCACACTAATATATATATATATATATATAATAGTAATACATGTGTATGAAATATATATACACTAATATATATATGTGTGTGTATCACAGTAATCTAAAATGTGTACACACATTTATATACATACTCTACTATATATATTATATATGTGTAAGAATAATATATGCTCTTTATACAGTGTATACACACATATAGTGTACATATACATAGAAAAAGAATATATAATCCAGTCCAAAGCCTGCTCCTCTTCCTCTCCAAGAGTTTGGACTACATCTCCCAGAATCCCTCATAACTGCTCTAGCTAGGCTGAGGCTTCCGGGAATTGCAGTCCAAAAGAACCCCTCAAAAGAGCACGAAGGAGGCGGTCTTTTCCTGTTCCTGGCTTCCATTGGCTGGTTTAAAAGCCAAGCCCCGCCTCTTGCTCCCGTTCTGCACTCCTATTGGCTCAATTCAAAACAGGCACGGCACGGAAGGCAAAGGGAAGGAAGTGAAGAGGACGAGTCTCTTCCGGGTAGAGCGGCCCGGCTTCCTGTGTAGGCGCTGGGGTTGATGGGAAAATGCGGATATCCAGGAAGTGAGAGGAAGAGAGAGGAAGGAAGGGGGGCAGAAGGGGGGGAAACCCACACCTGGGCACAGGTAAGGAAAAGGTCATATAGAGTCTCCCATATATGTGTCTACATCCATCAGTCTGAAGCTTCCCAACAAAGGATTCCCCCAGGCAGCAACCAGCCAGGCTTTGAAGCTGCAAGGCCATTGAATGCTAATCCTCAGAGGTTGTGAGGTCTGTTGGAAACTAGGCAAGTGGGGTTTGTGTATCTGTGGAATGCCCAGGGCCATCCAACACCTCCCAACAAAGGATCCTCCCCCAGGCAGCAACCAGCCAGGCTTTGAAGCTGCAAGGCCATTAAATGCTAATCCTCAGAGGTAGTAAAGTCTGTTGGAAATTAGGCAAGTGGGGTTTGTGTATCTGTGGAATGCCCAGGGCCATCCAACACCTCCCAACAAAGGCTTCCCCCAGGCAGCAACCAGCCAGGCTTTGAAGCTGCAAGGCCATTAAATGCTAATCCTCAGGGGTTGTGAAGTCTGTTGGAAACTAGGCAAGTGGGGTTTGTGTATCTGTGGAATGCCCAGGGCCATCTAACACCTCCCAACAAAGGATTCCCCCAGGCAGCAACCAGCCAGGCTTTGAAGCTGCAAGGCCATTAAATGCTAATCCTCAGGGGTTGTGAAGTCTGTTGGAAACTAGGCAAGTGGGGTTTGTGTATCTGTGGAATGCCCAGGGCCATCCAACACCTCCCAACAAAGGCTTCCCCCAGGCAGCAACCAGCCAGGCTTTGAAGCTGCAAGGCCATTAAATGCTAATCCTCAGGGGTTGTGAAGTCTGTTGGAAACTAGGCAAGTGGGGTTTGTGTATCTGTGGAATGCCCAGGGCCATCCAACACCTCCCAACAAAGGATCCTCCCCCAGGCAGCAACCAGCCAGGCTTTGAAGCTGCAAGGCCATTAAATGCTAATCCTCAGAGGTTGTGAAGCCTGTTGGAAACTAGGCAAGTGGGGTTTATATATCTGTGGAATGATGTCCAGGGCCCTCCAACACCTCCCAACAAAGGATTTCCCCAGGCAGCAACCAGCCAGGCTTTGAAGCTGCAAGGCCATTAAATGCTAATCCTCAGAGGTTGTGAAGCCTGTTGGAAACTAGGCAAGTGGGGTTTATATATCTGTGGAATGCCCAGGGCCATCTTACACCTCCCAACAAAGGATACCTCCAGGCAGTAACCAGCCAGGCTTTGAAGCTGCAAGGCCATTAAATGCTAATCCTCAGAGGTTGTGAAGCCTGTTGGAAACTAGGCAAGTGGGGTTTATATATCTGTGGAATGATGTCCAGGGCCATCTAACACCTCCCAACAAAGGATTCCCCCAGGCAGCAACCAGCCAGGCTTTGAAGCTGCAAGGCCATTAAATGCTAATCCTCAGAGGTTGTGAAGCCTGTTGGAAACTAGGCAAGTGGGGTTTATATATCTGTGGAATGCCCAGGGCCATCTTACACCTCCCAACAAAGGATACCTCCAGGCAGTAACCAGCCAGGCTTTGAAGCTGCAAGGCCATTAAATGCTAATCCTCAGAGGTTGTGAAACCTGTTGGAAACTAGGCAAGTGGGGTTTGTATATCTGTGGAATGTCCAGGGCCATCTTACACCTCCCAACAAAGGATTCCCCCCAGGCAGCAACCAGCCAGGCTTTCAAGCTGCAAAGCCATTAAATGCTAATCCTCAGGGATTGTGAGGTCTGTTGGAAACTAGGCAAGTGGGGTTTATATATTTGTGGAATGCCCAGGGCCATCCAACACCTCCCAACAAAGGATTCCTCCAGGCAGCAACCAGCCAGGCTTTGAAGCTGCAAGGCCATTAAATGCTAATCCTCAGAGGTTGTGAGATCTGTTGGAAACGAGGCAAGCAGGGTTTATATTTCTGTGGAATGCTGTCCAGGGTGGGAGAAAGAACTCTTGTCTGTCTGAAGTGCAAATGTTTCAATTGGCCACCTTGATTAGCATTTAATGGCCCAGCAGTTTCAAGGTCCCTTTTCTCACTGCCTGGGAAAATCCTTTGTTGAGAGGGGATTAGCTGTCCCTGATTGTTTCTTGTCTGGAATTCCCCTGTTTCTGAGTGTTGTTCTTTATTTACTGGTATGATTTTAGAGTTATTTTAAATGCTAGTAGCCAGATTTCGTTCTAACTCTAAAACTATAAACACTCAAAAACTGTGGCCCAGTCTGTGTAGATGTGTTTTGTGTGTGTATATATTTGTGTATAACATAACTCAAAAACCACTGGGTGAATTGACACCAAATTTGGACACAATACACATATCAGGCCAACAAGTGATCATTACTCATAAAAACACATTATACAAAACAATGACGATGTTTTGTATAATGCTGGTTTGTGAATTGTGTTTTTATACTGTGTCTTGAATTTTGTTCTTCCTATGTTGTACACCGCTGTGAGTCGCCCCCGGGCTGAGAACAGCGGTATAGAAGCAAAGTAAATAAACAAACAAATAAATAACACTGAAAAACATAGCAAAAGAGACTTTAAAAGCAAAGAAATAAAAAATACATTACAACGCATTCACAAAACCACACACCCACACATAGATACACGCAAACACACATATATACACAAATATATACACAAATATATACACATATATACAAAATTATATACATACACATATATACATACACAAAACACATCTACACAGACTGGGCCACAGCAACGCGTGGCAGGGGACAGCTAGTGGATATATATTTTTGGCTGGAGGTATACTTAAGAAAGGTACCCATTTCGATTACATACAAATTCAACTTAAGAACAAACCTACAGAACCTATCTTGTTCATAAATTGGGGGTTACCTATATATCTGTGTGTAGGTGTTGTTCAAAGTTGTGTTTATCTTAAATATATAAAAATGCTCTGTGCATAATGAGTACCTTAAAAACAAAAGAACCAATGAACGAAATCACACCAAATGTGGCAACGAAACATCTCACAACACAAGGAGTGACCATCATTCAAAAAATTATGATTTTGTCATTTGGGAGTTGTAGTTGTTGGGATTTATAGTTCACCTAAAATCAAAGAGCATTCTGAATCCCCACCAACGATGGAATTGAAACATACTTGGCACACAGTTCTCCCATGACCAACAGAAAATACTGGAAGGGTTTGGTGGGCATTGACCTTGAGTTTTGAAGAGTTGTAGTTCACCTACATCCAGAGAGCAGTGTGGACTCAAACAATGATGGATCTGGACCAAACTTGGCACAAATTCCATATGCCCAAATATGAACACAGATGGAGTTTGGGGGAAATAGACCTTGACATTTGGGAGTTGTAGTTACTGGGATTTATAGTTCACCTACAATCAAAGAGCATTCTGAACCCCACCAACAATGGAATTGGGGCAAACTTCCCACACAGAACCCCCATGACCAACAGAAAATACTTAAGGCCATCCAGTCCAACTCCCTTCACCAAGGCAAGAAAACATAATCAAAGCCCTCCTGACAAAGAGCCATCCAGCCATAGATATAGATAGATATATATGATTCACACACAGAGAGATATAGTATCCTAGATTTGAAAGGGACCCCTAAAGAATGATATGTTGCATGTTCCAGAGTAGGCAAACCAGACACTCTCCACATCAACAGTGACAAAGAAACAGCAAGAAATACTGTTTACCCACAAGCCTAAAGAAATCACATATATTAGAAACCAACACTTTCTCATTACTTTATTTTCCAGATCACCAGACTGGGCCACAGCAACGCATGGCAGGGGACGGCTAGTTTCTTTATGAAAACATTCTTTCATTAAAGACAGTAGCTGTAAATACAACCTTTCCTTCTTTGTCAGGCCATAGGCAAAACTGATTGACCCTCCCGGTGACCATGGCTGTCTACAGCTATAACCTCTTCCGTGCTGTTGCAAGGTCCAGGTAAGAAATTGATTTTTATTTTCATGGGTTAGAGCAAGGCTTCTTAAAGTTTGTGTACACCAAATTACCAGGAGGTAAAGGTTCTTTAAGACCAAGCCAGTGGATTTTCTGAATGTTAATAGGATTTTAATGGTTTTTACTATTTATTTTAATAGTTTACATGTTTTAGTGTTTGTATATCCCCTGTTTAAGGAGCTCCCTTGGCTGCCATTTATTTTCCGGGCCCAATGTGCCTTTAGATAAAGATTGTGAAACTCCACAACTGCAGGTGGAGACTCCTTTTGGTTCCCAGGGTGATCAGGCCCAGCTGGGCCAAGATAGTGGGTTGTCCAGCCTTGAAGATAATAGTGAATTAATGAGTAGACAGGATCGTTTACAATTAAGAGTTCGCAGAAGCTCACGCCTTGCCAGCAAGCGTGAAGCGAAAGGTCAACGCAATGCTTTCATGTCAGGGAAACTTATTTAATGATGTAGCCGACGGGCATTTCCTGTCAGTCCAATGTTGCTCTTTCCCTGCTAACTTCTGTGGAATTACTTTGGCTTTTGCGGAATGCTTCTGGCTTCTCTGAGACTTGGATTTTGATCCTGATTTTACCTGTTTACCATGGACTCTTGTTTGACCATTGCTAAGGAATTATGCTTCATGTTATTTGCCTTTGGATCTTGGGAACTTTGCCTTTGCATTTAAGACTGTTTTGCCTATTTAACGTTTGCATCTTTATTTCTCTGTTTTGATTTTGCTTTTTCTCAATAAACTACAAAACCTTGGTGTGTGGTGGTGTCTTGAGCAAGGTGAAAACTACCCTGAGTTGCGACAGTTTCTATGATGCTATGAATCTTTACTTTGTTATGTCAAAGATCTGAGTCTATTTCTTTCCTTCTTACAGGGGACCTCATCTGCTTGTCCACTCCAACTGCTCTCCGTTACCCCCATTAGTTGCATTTGTCCATTTGGTGGATTCCCACCTTAACCGCACACCTCGGAGGGACTCTGAAAGCCAACAGCCTTTCTGCAGAATACGACCGGGCGTTGGGCTGCCCCACTTGGGGAATAAGTCTCTGCGAATGCTTCACACGTCCGCTTACTGGCAGCAAGAACTCCAGGACAAGCCTCCGCCTGATCAAAGCACGACAAAAACGGACAGTGAGGTGACCAAGGTCCCCGTTGACCAAGCCACCACCATTGCCAAGAAATCACTCCGACAGAGGATTGTAGATGAACTGAAACACTATTACAATGGATTCCACTTGCTTTGGATAGATACCAAAGTGGCTGCTAGGATGGTGTGGAGACTGTTACATGGGCAGGTGCTCACGCGGAGAGAAAGGCGAAGGGTGAGGAACGGCAAACGCCTGGGGGAAGTTACGGCCGTTCCTGAATAGGCGACCCACTGACAAAGCACCCAGACCCACTTGTGGAGCCCTCTCAAGATGGAAGGCCAATGTTTTTCCAATTTGTTTCCACTTAACAAGGAACAGGCAGGCTATTTGGAGAGATTGGAAGTAGAGTGGGTTTGGGGTGAGGTGGGTTGGCACTTTCCCCCTCTTTGTCCAGTCGTCTGGCGCAATGCTTAGGTGGAGATCTGACTGTCCTTTGGTCCCCAGTGTCAGTGGAATTGGGACTTCTCTTCCCCGCCACCTCCCACTACAGCAGGCATGGGCAAACTTGGGCCCTCCAAGTGCTTTGGACTCCACCTCCCACAATTCCTAACAGCCTCAGGCCCTTTCCTTTCCCCCCTCAGCCACTTAAGTTTCATCTTAAGGGCCCCAGTGTGTTAGTAGGCCTCAGTATGAGTAGGCCTGAGTGTTAGTTCGCCTCGGTGTGAGAGAGGCGTCAGTGTGAGAGAAACCTCAGTGTGAGGAAGTCTCAGTGGCTGAAAGGCCTCAGTATGAGTAGGCCTAAGAGTTTTCTCAGTATGAGAGAGGTGTCAATCTGAGAGAAACCTCAGTGTGAGGAGGTCTCAGTGGGTGAAAGGCCTGAGTATGAGTAGGCCTGTTAGTTCACCTCAGTGTGGGAGGTGTCAGTCTGAGAGAAACCTCAGTGTGAGGAAGTCTCAGTGGGTGAAAGGCCTCAGTATGAGTAGGCCTAAGTGTTGGTTTTCTCAGTGTGAGAGAGGTGTCAATCTGAGAGAAACCTCAGTGTGAGGAGGTCTCAGTGGGTGAAAGGTCTGAGTATGAGTAGGCCTGTTAGTTCACCTCAGTGTGGGAGAGGTATCAGTCTGAGATAAACCTCAGTGTGAGGAGGTCTCAGTGGATGAAAGGCCTCAGTATGAGTAGGCCGAAGTGTTCACGTCAGTCTGAGAGAGGTGTCAGTCTGAGAGAAACCTCAGTGTCTTAGTGGGTGAAAGGCCTCAGTATGAGTAGGCCTGAGTGTTAGTTCATCTCAGTGTGAGAGAGGAGTCAGTTTGAGAGAAACCTCAGTGTGAGGAGGTCTCAGTGGGTGAAGCCTCAGTATAAGTAGGTCTAAGTGTTAATTCACCTCAGTGTGAGAGAGGCGTCAGTCTGAGAGAAAGCTCAGTGTGATGTCTCAGTGGGTGAAAGGCCTCGGTATGAGTAGGCCTAAGTTTTAGTTTGCCTCAGTGTGAGAGAGGTGTCGGTCTGAGAGAAACCTCAGTGTGAGAAGGTCTCAATGGGTGAAAGGCCTCAGTGTGAAATAGGCCTCAGTATGAGTAAGTCTGGTGTGAGAAGCAGCTGAGGGAGAAAAGGAAGGGGCCTATTAGGAATAGTGTCTCTGTAGTGTCTCATTCAGAGCCACATCCACTGTTTTAGCGTGGTGAGATGCATTCCACACTGGGCATGCATACTCAGCAGCAGAGTAGCATAGCACAAGGGCAGATGTCTTCACTGTGTCTGGTTGTGATCCCTAGGTTGTGCCCGTCAGCTTTTGTATGATATTGTTTCTAGCACCCACTTTTTGCTTGATGTTCAGGCAGTGCTTCTTGTAGGTAAGAGCACGGTCCAGAGTGACTCCCAGGTATTTGGGTGCGCTGCAATGCTCCAGTGGGATTCCTTCCCAGGTGATCCTCAGAGCTCGGGATGCTTCTCTGTTCTTGAGATGAAAGGCACATGTCTGTGTTTTAGGTGGATTAGGGGTCAGTTGGTTTTCCCTGTAAGAGGCAGTAAGAGCACCTACTTTTGCTGAGAGACCAGCAATTATTACATTTGGCCCTGCAACAGATTTTAATTGTGTCATTGTGTGTTGTTAATGTTATTGCCTTGTTTTTTGAGTTATTTTGCTGTTTGTACTATTGTATTTGAGCTCGGCCTCTTGTAAGCCGCACCGAGTCCTTCGGGAGATGGTAGCGGGGTACAAATAAAGGTTTATTATTATTATTATTATTATTATTATTATTATTATTATTAAACCACATTCATTCTGCAACATGAGCTGAAAGTTAGTGTCTTGCTTTGTGGTCTTTTTCTCTGCAGCTGATGAGAACGTCCGCCGACCTCTTTCGCCTGGTCCCCTTCCTGGTGTTCATCATCGTACCCTTTATGGAATTCCTTTTGCCAGTGTTTTTGAAACTCTTCCCCGAAATGCTTCCCTCAACCTTTGAAACTGAATCCAAAAAGGTGGGTGTGAAAGGCAGGCCGGTCTCGCTGCTCTCGCGGACGGGGATTTGGGTGGGGATGGAGCAGGTGCAGATTGGAAAGAGACCCCCAAGTGACTGCCATTTTGTAAACAGGAAGAAAAACAAAGGAAGAAACTGAGTGCCAAGCTGGAGCTAGCCAAGTTCTTACAGGAGACCATTGCGGAGCTGGCCAGAAGGAACAAAGCCAGCACAGGAGAAGCCACACAGCAATTCTCTTCCTATGTTCAAAAGGTACAAGCACAGGAGTCCGAGGGCAGTGTTTCTCAACCTGGGAGGGGGTCGCGAGGGCGGTTTCAGAGGGGTTGCCAAAATGACCATCCAAAAACACATATATCTGATGGTCTGAGGAACCCCTTTGGCAGAGAAGACTGAAGATCTCTCCGCCTGTTCTTCTCTTTCTTTTTGGAAACAGACAGTGAAACCTCCCCCCAAAAAGCCCTCCTCCGCTGTGATTGGCTGGCCTCTCAGCCAACGGGAGGGCTCTTTCTGACACTCCAAGCGGGGAGGGAAGAGCAGGCGTGCACAGCACATGGCAGCGTGGTGTGCATGTGCGAGCGTGGGGGAGCATGCGACGTAGACTCTAGAGAAAGGTTCTCTTTAGGAATCTCTAAATCCTCCAACGTATCTCTGGTCCCTTTTCGGCCAAATGTGATTATAAAATTGTGCTGGAGGACCTAAAGATTCCTAAAGTGAATGCATTGATCGAATCTGTGAAAAATAACATGCACAAAAGTTAAACCTCCAGATCTGAAGTGCCCCTTGATGCTGTGTAGGGAGAGTGCTCACTAATGCTTCCTCTTCATCTTGGAAAGAAGTGACAAGTGGAGTGCCGCAGGGTTCCATCCTGGGCCCGGTCCTGTTCAACATCTTTATTAATGACTTAGATGAAGGGCTAGAAGGCATGATCATCAAGTTTGCAGACGACACCAAATTGGGAGGGATAGCCAATACTCCAGAAGACAGGAGCAGAATTCAAAATGATCTGAACAGATTAGAGAGATTGGCCAAAACTAACAAAATGAAGTTCAACAGGTACAAAGGCAAGATACTCCACTTAGGCAGAAAAAAATGAAATGCAAAGATACAGAATGGGGGGTGCCTGGCTCGAGAGCAGTACATGTGAAAAAGATCTTGGGGTCCTTGTGGACAACAAGTTAAACAAGAGCCAACAATGTGATGTGGCGGCAAAAAACAAGCCAATGAGATGTTGGCCTGCATCAAGAGGAGCCTAGTGTCTAGGTCCAAATCTGTATGCTCCCCATGCTCTATTCTGCTTTGGTTAGACCACACCTGGAATATTGTGTCCAATTCTGGGCACCACAATTGAAGAGAGATGTTGACAAGCTGGAATGTGTCCAGAGGAGGGCGACTAAAATGATCAAGGATCTGGAGAACAAGCCCTATGAGGAGCGGCTTAAGGAGCTGGTCATGTTTAGCCCGAAGAAGAGAAGGCTGAGAGGCAACATGATAGCTATGTATAAATATGTGAGAGGAAGTCATAGGGCAGAGGGAGCAAGCTTGTTTGCTGCCCTGGAGACTAGGATACAGATCAATGATTTCAAACTACAAGAAAGGAGATTCCATCTGAACATGAGGAAGAACCTCCTGACTGTGAGAGCTGTTCAGCAGTGGAACTCTCTAACCCAGAGTGTGGTGGAGGCTCCTTCTTTGGAGGTTTTTAAGCAGAGGCTGGATGGCCATCTGTCAGGGGTGCTTTGAATGCAATATTCCTGCTTCTTGGCAGGGGGTTGGACTGGATGGCCCATGAGGTCTCTTCCAACTCTATGATTCTATGATTCTATGATGTCTTTCACTTGCTTGTGGTTTGGTCTGAGGCGGGATTGCATCCCTTGCTTTGCGCAGGTCCGGCACAGCGGCCAGCAGCCCAGCACCCAGGAGCTCATTCAGTTTTTTTTTTTGTTTTCCGCTTTTTTGAGGGACGGAGCTTGACCCTGTAGCAACCTGGAGAGGGCCGCCATTTGGTCATCCCCTCTGCAGACCCCTGGCCTGGAGACTGGCAGCCCATTTGCCCCCACCCAACCAAACCTCCCTCCGCTTCCCCAGCTTCCCTGAAAAAGTGAAAAGGGCTTCGGGTTCCCGAATCCAAAGCAGAACCGATTAGTAGGAGCCCGAAAAGGAAGGGGTTGCCAAAGCAAGACCCGTGGTTTTAAAACCCCCTCCTAGGCCCCTCCCCCTTTTAGAGCTGTATTTTGGGTGCCAGACCCCCCATTTTTCCCATGTAATCCATTTCTGTCCCCCCCCATTTTTCTTTCTCCAGTTTTTTTTGATTTCTGACCCTGGGCCCTCTTAGGCCCTGGGTCACACTGCCATATAACTGCCGCTCAGCATAATTTTGTTAAAAAATTAGAGATTGTGCTTTGCATCTCGGCGAAAAGAGAAGAGGTCTACTTTCTTACTTGAACATCCTTGCTGAT